TAAAAAAAAAAAAAAAAGAAAAATTAAAAAAAAAAAGAACATACGAAAGTAATTTTTTTAATAGATGACACAGCTCAAAAGTGCAGTAGCAATACTATGGTAATGGACCAATGGTATATGTGGATGATTAAAAAAAATGCAACAAAAAATGAAAAAAAAAAAGATACTTATATATGTACAAAAACGTGATGGAACACAAAATATATAAGAAATTTCAACAAATATTATAAATTATTTAAGGGGTAGATATGTAAAATACAGTAATAGTCTAATGTACAATCTATGATAACAAACTTCATACAAATAAAGTCATGGAAATTATAGGTTGCACAATAACATAGGGTATGTCCAATCTCTACAATACAATCTTGGCCACCTAGATAACAATTATCTAGTCTCATCCGAATAAACAAACGTGCTAGATGATATGCACATTGTTTAATTAAGTATTTAAAACTATTAACAATGGTAAAAGTCAAATAAATTTCTGAGTATCCTATTCCAAATTTTTTCTATGAAGCATGACAATTTTTTCTTTCTATATTATTTTTTTCCTTTTCCATTATTACATCTTTTTTTCTTTTTTTGTTACTTTTAAATTTCAATTTCTTAAGTGTTGAAAATAATTTTCCTATTTCCATTATAACATTTATTATATACAAATTAAAATATTTATCAATATTTCCAAAAATTTGGAACCACTTTACTAAACTAAAAAGAAAAATTCAATGTACTCCTTAATTTAACTAATCTCAAAATTTATGAGAATACCCAAAAACTATGATCAATTAGAAAGAATTTGGAATTATCGAATAATTACAAACCATAAAAGTAACAAATAAATTATATAATTAAAATATCTATATTATTTTGAAATCAAATATTTCATCAAGTTGTTAAGTTTTCAACCATTTTTTAAACTTTTTTAATCTATGTATTAGCAATTACAATAAAATAATACGTTAATCCTTCACATTTTTATTTTATGCTCAATAGATTGACAATAAAATAGACACATTTTAACTAAAACCATTATGATTACATATCATGCTTTAAAATAAAATATCTAAAGATAAGTTAATAATAATAATAACTAAATATATATTAAACTTTTAAGTTTGAATATTTCATATTTTTATTCCAAGTCCTTTACATTTCTGATGTTATGTGGAACCTTCTTAATTTTTTTTGAAAATATTTTTCAAAAAAAAATTTAATAAATTCCACATTTGATTGATATATTTGTGAGATGCCTGTCTAATATAGTATGCATGATAATTAGTTAGTTGATTAGTTTTTATATAAATTAATTCTGTCAATTAATTAGTTATTTTATTTGTATGATAATTAATTATGAAAAATGCATATTAGGAAATTAATGATGAGATATTTTAAATATAAATAATAATATTTAAAGTAAAATTAAAAAAAAATAAGTAATAAATCTGCTCGTATCGCACGGGATACATATTAGTGGTATATACAAAAATTCACCATAAAAAGTAGATGGATTTTCGATCGGTTGGGCTGATTGGGCTGATGAGTCAAGTCCAATAAAGAGAGCCAATAAATTAGGGTTTAAATCGATCTGTCTGTGCCTGCTTCTCTCTTTTTCCTTCCTGAACAGTTCAGCGCTCCCGATACAGAGAAATGGCAATCATGTCTCTGAATCTTAAATCAAAATTGAAACCCGCCGTCTTGAATTTGTGTAGAACCTTCTCTAACGCTCCTCTCCCCATCTGTTCAAAGGATAAGAGCAAGTTTATCGTGCCGCAGTTTACAGGTCCGGGAAGGTTAAATTGCTTGCTCATTTCGATCGAGGATACGGCTCATAAAGTTGAAAAATATATCAATTATCCAAAGCGTTTTCATAACCCCGTTGCTAGTTGCAACGGTTTGGTGTTGTTTTTGTTCGAAGGATCATACAACAAAGATACAAACACAAAAACAAGTCCAGGGGAGGCTCTATGGAACCCCACCACCAACGAACTCAAAATCCTTCCTCCATCGCCCGCAACTTTGGACCCAAGGTATTGTAGGAAATGCATCTTAATTATTCAGATTTATTTTCCTAAAAAAATGAATATATCCAGAAGAATTAACTGTTCCTTGGGAAGTATATATCAACGAAATCGTGATTCTTTGGAATCAATCTCAATTACTTCAAATTAATGTCTACATAACAAACCGAAAGCGCTGTATTGTTTCAGCTCAAATTTTTATGATTTTCCCTTTTTTTTGTTTCTTTTACCGAAATCGCCATATTGTTTCAACTCAAATTTTAATGATTTTTCCTTTTTTTTAGGTATGATTTTTATTATATTTTCTTTTTCTTTATAATGTAATTTAACANGTTGTAATTATTATGTTATATATTTGAAATAATTATGTTATAAATTGGACGTCAGATATTATCCTGTTAGGTGTTAAAAATGATAATGTTACATGTTAGACTTCATTATGCTATTAATTGGACGTTAGATATTGTCAAAAATATAATTATTAAATTTTTCCATATGAAATAACTATTGTAATAACTATTAAAATATATTATAATTCATTTTTATTTTAATAATTATTATTATTATAATTTATAATTGTTATTATAATTATTATAACAAATTATTATTATAATTATTATAACAAATTATTATTATAATTATTATAACAAATATTATAATTAAAATTATAAGAAATTATAATTATTTTTATTATTATAATTAATTACAATTATTATATTATTATTAATTATAATTATAATTATAACTATTATTATTAATATTTTTATAATTTATATTTGATTACAATTTATTCAACTTATTATAAAATAAAAAAACATAGTGTCCGGCTGGTCGGACCGGTCACGACCGGCCGTCGGGGCCGGACGCCATTTGGGCCGTCCGGTTTCGGCGGCCGGACAACAATGATTTTTTAAGACTAATTTTATAGGTGACTGTGGGTCACCGATTAAAAAATAAATAAATAAAAAATAAAGAAAGGAAAGGTCATTGGGTCGCGCAACTTTATTTTAAAAAAATAAAAAGTAAAAATAAATAAATAAAAAAAGAAAGGAAAGGTCATTTGGTCGCCCAACTTTATTTTAATAAAAAGTAATACTAAATTCATATTTTTTTATTATCTACAAATAGACACCACACTTGATATCTTTTGAAACACGATTACATTTTTTGGATAAAGTAAAATAAAATAAATATTTAGGTTGAGTTGGATCAGGAATAAAATAAATTTTAAATTTGGTTGTAAGGTTGAGTTGTATTGGTAAAGAGGAGAGAAATAATTTTTAATTATAAAGTTGGGCTAGATTGGGTGATAAAGATTGTCTAATGGTTATCTCCCTTGGATCGGAGTTCACCATCCCATCGAATTCCTTGACCGCTGTTAAGTCGTCATCCAAATAATTCCCCCTACCATCTTTATTTTTTATCTATTCTCTTAGAACATCCACAATGCTTTGGTTCAATCACAAAAATTTATATGCCACCTAAGAAAAAAAAGACCTAGTCTAAAAACATGTATTCTTCAATGCAAACAAAACATGTATTCTTCAATGCAAACAAAAGTAAACTGGCTCATGCCGACGTGGCAGCCAGAAAAAGAGACCCGGTCTACCCTTGAGTCTATTTTAGACCCAAGTAGAGTTCTGGTCTCTTTGCATTGGAATGAATTTTATCAATTTTACATAGTTTTATCCATGTCATCCAAGACTTGTGTTTATTTATATGCCACGACAAGACTAGACCAAATACATTGTAGATGCTCTTAAGGTATTGAATGCTTCTTTGTTCGTTGATTATTGGTGCTCCAATCTAGGATAATTTAGAAATTAATCACTTATTAATATTAATTATACATCAATGAAATTCAATTACAACTAGATTTACTACTTTGTTCTATGCAGCAAGAAAAGCGGCCAATTGTAGTGATAGGAAAAAATTGAGGAGCAGATAAGTGAGAAACTACATCAATGAGTGAGAAAGTTCTCACTATAACCATATTACTCTACATTAAACATATTTTTTTTCATTTTTTTTTCAAATAAATTATAATATATATGCATTTAATTTTATATAAATTGATTATTCATTTGTTCAATGGACTTTTAAGTCTTTTGAATTTTAATGAAACCTACATGTTTTATTGTGGTAAATATTTATATTGCACTATGATATTAAAAAAGATTACAAAATAAATTATAATACGTCAATAGAAAAAAACACAAAATTATTAACATAATAAATATAACTACTAATACACCTTAAAATAATAAATCCAACTTTTGATTTTGGAGTGGTAAATTTCTACACTCTAGCAATAAAGTTGGAATGTGGTGACGGGTTGGAGTTGGTCTAATTCACAGCAATGAGATCTTTATTTTTATTTATCAAATTATTTTTTGTATTTTTATATGTATTATTTGCACAGCACCTTGAAGACTTGCATTTGTAAGATGATTAACTCGGTTTTTCAAACAAACTAGAGTGTAACCCGTGTGATACACGGGTAAACAATATTAAATAAGAATTTAAATTAAAGAGTGAGCAAACAATATTAAATAATAATCATAAATTAAAGAAGTGGGTTAACATGTGATACTGCTTAAAGTATAAAATTATCTTATCTAAGGTAACAGAAAACATGTATGTTTAAAAACACCTAAAATATTATATAACATATGTAGGATTATCTAAAATATTATATATTATTCTTAAAAAATTTGAATTCACCTAAATTTTTTCTAAATTATTTTATAACCAAAACGTGTCTAAGACATTTAACTTTAACATCTACATATATACATATATAACTTTTGAATACCATGCATGTGGAGATTTTATAATTTCGAATTTAACCAAATCATTCATTTTAAGAACCATATATCCAAAAAAAACGTGTGCATCGATGGTTTTGAATTTTGAAATCTATTTGATATACACCAGATTTTGGAGTCGATATTTGAAAGTTTAAATCGAACAAAACCCTTAATTTAATGAAAAAAATTGCGCAAACAACATGTTTAAATTTATATAATTATTAATAATTGCACATTACTCCAAAAGACTCCAAAATACTTTACCTTTTGAAAACTAATGGATTTCAAATTCGAAATCAATCATGAATGAAAATTTAAACCAAATAAGTCAAAAGTTTAAAAATGTGTGATTTCTAAAATACCGTAATTTTCAATTTAACCAAATCCTTCATTTTAGGTTATTTATATCTAAAAAATGTGTGCATTAGTGGTTTTGAATTTTGAAATACATACAATTTGATATACACCCAATTTTGGAGTTGATATTTTAAAAGTTTAATTTGAACACAATCTTTAATTTAAAGAAAAAAAATTGCCCAAACAACATGTTTAAAAAGTATATAAAATATTATTAATTTCACAAAACTTTATTAAATCGGATTTTTTTATATATATATCCATATGTCTCTTAAAATCTCAAATGAATACATTTTCAGTAAATTGGGATTTTTAAGATTTAAAGTCATTCGAAATTCTAATTGAATACACCGTCACTTACTTTCTATTACGGTGGCTTTTGTTTGTTGAAACTTTCTGGCAAAACCAAGAATTTATTTGAGAGGGGGCAAAAGTAAGATTGATTTATTTTTAAACATTACTTTGAGGTCACCGAAGACTGTTTAAATAATTTTTAAAAATGCTACAAGTACATAATAAATGTAAATAGAGGTGTACATAACATTCACATGGAGTGAGATCCACTTGATTTTTTGTTTTTGGTAGGACCCACTTAATGCGAGTGCTATGTACACGTACAATATTATGTTCATATAGCATTTATCATATTTTTTTAGCTAATTTTTTGTTTTTCAGCGATGCGTTTTTCAAGCCGAGCTGCAAGTATTTTGGTTTTGGTTTCGATTCGGCATCTGAGGACTATAAGGTGATAAGATTTCTGGAACAAAATGGTACTAACCATCGGGGTGTTGTTGGTCATGGCTACTGGACGCCTATGGTGGTTGAATTGTATTCGCTCGCAACTAATTCTTGGAAACCAGTCAACATTCTTCCTCCCGTTCCATGGGATTGGGGCATTCAAGTAAACGATTCTTATTATTGGTTAAATAGCTCAGAGCCTGGTTTTATCATGTCTTTTAACTTTTCTACTGAGAAGTTTGCTTCATGTCCTATTCATGTGCCTCAAAGCGACAAACTCAATAGGCCATATTTTAATGTGAAGTTGGTGGAATTTCGTGGTTCGCTTGGTGCTGTTGTTGACACGCTAACTTATCCTAGTGATCCTATTCGTAGTTTGGAAGTTTGGGTGTGGGATGACGACATATGGACGTGGTCTCTGGTGTCCACATTCGACGTACCTCGTTCTATGAATTCATGGAGGCTCGTTGGGAGTGATAAAATAATTTTTGTGGACGCGAATCGTGATTTGATGTTTTTTGATTTTGCAACGGGCAAGTTGGAGAACATTGCTGGTGCACCTAGAGCTTTGGTACCTCACATTCTACCTTTTGTCGAGAGCTACATTCCTCTGGGAAATAATAAATGAGATGGCTGCACCTAGATTTGGAGAACATTGCTGGTGCACCTACGGACCATTTTACCTTTTGTAGTAGATTCTTTTCTACTTCGTTTTGTGTGTCAAATCTTTTATGTAAAAAGTAGATATACATGTTTATATATATATATAAAGAGAATAACTATTTACTTAAAAATAATAAGAAAACAAAATTTGTCAAAATTAACATGGCCACATGCCACTTGACCCGGCACGGACCCTGCCTAGTCAAATTCGTTGACCATGGGGTTGGACCCAACTTGGATTTCAACATGGCCAGTGCAGGGTCTTGTTTTTGTCGACCCTGGCCCGGCGAGTCCAGCACGGGAAAACACATTGTTTTTAGTTTAGGCGAATCTAGACCTAGGTTGGGCTTTAGATTCGTGCCGGTTCAGGATCCATGAAACCCAACTCGTCGGGCCGAGCACGGCCAGTGCTTTGGCCATCTAATTGAATGCCACTTTTTGAGATTTTANACAAAATCAATCAGCATTTAATAATGCTCTCTAAAATGTGGGTTTTGTTCATTTCTCATTTTAAAATTGCCGCTAGCAACTAATTCACTCTAGTGTCTAATCATAGATACTACAAATGAAAAAGAAACAAACACAGTGCATACATCTAAGAAAGAAAAATCAATTCTCTCGTCCAAAAGGAAAAGGAAAATATTTTCAGTAGATGCAGCTCAATCCTATATAAATAATTAAGGACACACAATTAGACCCAGGAAATAAACAAATCCTTCTAATTTTCATATCCACATGAGAACTAATCTATGCACCTTCCATACCAATTTTAATTTTTTTAGGTCCAAGAATCTTTAAAAATTGCCTAACCTGAAAGCTTCTCTTGATGTCGTCAAAATTATGGGCTGCATAGCACCTTGAGGCAAGCTTTGTGTACACTGAAACGTATACAAAGTACAATCCTGACTTTGTGCTTGTGTGCAGGATGAAGGACAAAAAGCCCTCTAATTAATGTCTCTATTGGCCAAGGCGATGTCTTTTCCAATTGTTATGGCGGCCTCTTGCGGGCTAAATTGCCAAACTTTAACATTAAATTCCAAATAGATTATCCATTAATAATCTAGAACCGTTGACTTTAGGACCCATCATGTGGTAAACAAAATTCAGCCATAACCAGCACAACATTGGTCCAGAGTTAATAAACTAGCTAATTATACATTATGTTATGATAATTGGGTTCATTAGCATCGACATAGGGTGCAACTAAGAAACTAAAAAAATGAACCCCAAATGTCAATGGAATACAACAAGTAGCAGTTACATTTTCAATAACGCAAATAATTCACCACGCAAATTAATTACACAATGGATATTAGGCGTTAGATCGTGAGATTATGACACCGGCACCATAGAATTTCTGCAAATTGAAGTGCAATAATACCTAATTTGAAAACATATAAAGAAAACAATTAAATTACAATCATGAAAACTACACAAATCATACCTCATATCGTAGACCTACTGCATTTTTCACCCTCTCTTCAATCTTTTCCCGACTACCACATCCTTCCAGTCGAGTTTTTATTTGTCCTGTGTACGGGTAAGATAAGAAAAGAAGAATAAATAATTTAAGGTGCTGTAATATGATCTAAAAGACCGACATTGGATAAATGATAATATGCTATGTAAACTGGTTTCAAAATTCAAAGTTGCACTGGGATAGCAAAAACTACTCACACTTAGGTGTGATGAGAGTGCCCTACAGAAATCGAGAAAATACTTGTTTTTTTTTTTTCAAACGATAGATTTATTAATAAAAACACGTACTTACAACCGGCTCACTAGCCGAATAAGGGAGGTCTACCACCACGTGTTAACCTAAAACACAACGCACAATAACATCACACAAAGACTAAAAACTCCCCGACGGAAGAATACAGAGAAAATACTTGTTCAAGACATAAAAAGAAATCTAAAAAGAAAAAAAAAAAAGAAAAATAATTAAAATGTTTGTGAAACTTATAAAGGAAAATAATAAAATGTATGAGAACCAGTAACTTGTTAGCATGAGAGAAAGGGAAAAGAAGATAAATCAACATCATAACTACTAAATAGTTTCTTTCCCAAAAGAGAAATGCATACCTCAAAGCTCTCTTCCACAGTAGTCTCTTTTCAACAATATCTGAAGTGGTTAAACGGTTCCAAAATATAAAAATAAAAAATGGTTAAAAATGTGCATGAAGCCACACCTTCCTGCTTGTGAATTAACCATGTTACAAAAATGACTTTCAGTCTTTCAGTCTATGCATGTTTTAAATCCAATATTTTTCATGGTGCCTGATTATAGTAATGAAACTTACTGGGTCGCATGCGTAATAGTTTAAAGAGATTAAAGAGATATAGATTAGAGTTGAGTAGCATCCCACAATTAGAGTTAAAGTGTTTCGAAAAAAGTTAATTAGAGTTTTCAAAAATTACATCAATGTTTTCAAATTATAAGTGCAAAAAATTTACTCTGATGTTAGTAATTTTAGGCGGGGTTTTACACGAAATATGGCGATTTTCGCATTTCCATACAATGTTTTTTTTGTTTGCAAACAACCACATAAACTAAAGTTTTTTTCACTTTGGCAATGAATAAAATATATTCTACACACTAAAGAACTATAAATATGAAAAAATATGTTATAATTTAAATTATATAATTAATTAATTAAAGAGAAAATAATAATCTAAATAATAAGTATAATAATATAAAAACAAAAATTAAAAAGTTGTGCATTTATTCATAGCATTTGTTATCATTGAAATAAAAATATTTACATTGTTAAAATTAGTGAAATGATAAACAATACATTATTTTAGCTTTTCATTAATAAATTTAAAAGATTACTTTTATTTGATTTTATTTAAACTTATTTATGTTAACTTGATTTATTTTAAATTGTATATTTAAAAGTACTTGTTAAGTTGATTTAATTTATATTATATGAAAATAATGTAAATGAAATAAAAGAGAATTATTTTAGAAATATTGTTGAAAAATAAAATTATCAAAATATCAACTAAAAATGTTTATCGTATTAAAACTAAAGAATAATGATTTATTTAATCATATATTTCAGCTTAAAATATAATTAAATTAATTATTTTTATAAGGCTCCGTTTGTTTTGAGGGATTTGAAATCTCTTGATTTCAAAATTTTTAAAATATAATTTTTTTTACTTGCAAAATCCTTGAATGGATGTGTTGAAAAAATTATAAATCAATTGTCTTGCTCGCACCGATGGTGTTGACTCGCGGTGATGATGAACCTAAATGATCACGGACGGCGTGGTCATCAACGGTGATAAACAGTGGATTTGAAATAACTAGGTTTGATGAGTCATTTAAAATCCTTCAAAATAATGACTAAAAACATTTAGCACGAATTTGAAATCCTCCAACTTTCATTATCATCCAACATGCATGAGGATTTGAACTTGTAAATTTGAAATTATGTAAATCATTCAATCCAAACTTAGTTTAAGAGTAATTTACTAATTACGTGTGATACACGCCAATTTAGAGGAAAATGCCAAATATAATTAGTTGTTCACCCAATTTCTTCTTAAAAAAAAAAAAGAATTGTCTTTTCGATTTATTGGGCTGGGTCGTATAATGAGTTGTCCGATAAACCCAAGTCCAATAAGGAGAACCCCTAGAATTAGGGTTCAAAATCGATCTGCCCTGCGCCTATTTAGACNCAAGGAAGGTCACGAAAAATGAGCAACCCAGGTCACATTGTGACCTTGGGTCGTGACCCGTGTAGTGTTTGGAGAATGGGACATTTGTCCTATTTTGATGGATAAGTGTATTTTTTGTATAAAAAAAAATAAAAATGATACTAAAATTCATATTTTTTCATTCTCTACAAATAGAGACCACCACACTTGATATATTTTGGAATAAAATTGTAATTTTTAAATAAGTTAAAATAAAATAAATATTTAGGTTGAGTTAGGTTGGGGATAAAGATAAATTAAATTGTAAGGTTGAATTGTGTAAGTGGAAGAGAGAGAAATAATTTTTAATTATTAAATTAAGTTGGATTGGGTTGGGGATAAAATAGTCTCACAACTGCTTGCTTTCTTTTTCTATGGTTTAGAATCGATTTGCCTGCGCCTATTGAGGACTGCTTGTTTTCTTTTTCTCGTCCTGAACAGTTCAGCGCGCCCCTAAATACAGAGAAATGGCAATCATGTTTCTGAATCTTAAATCAAAATTGAAACCCCTCTTGAATTTGTGTAGAACCTTCTCTAACGCTCCTCTCCACGTCGGTTCAAAGTATAAGAGCAAGTTTATCGTGGCACAGCATACAAAAACAATAGGCCTGGGATGCTTAAATTACTTGGTAATTTCGATAGAGGATACTGCTCACCAAGTCGAAAAATATATCAATTATCCAAAGCTTTATCATAACCCTGTTGCGACTTGCAATGGTTTGGTGTTGCTTTTGTTCGGAGGATCATATGATGAAGATACAGACACAAAAACGAGTCCAGGTGAAGCTTTATGGAACCCCACCACCAATGAACTCAAAATCCTTCCTCCATCTCCCGCAATCTTGGACCCAAGGTACTTTTGGAAATGCATCTTAATTATTTTTTTCTACTCGAATGATAAATTGAATATATACAGAAGATTTAACTGTTCTTTGGAAACGATATATTTCAGGAAAAATAAATATTCTATGGAGACGTGAATGTGAAACCGAATACGGGTCAATGGTGGCTGCTGTTAAATATGTTACTGATAATTTTTGTCAGCCTTAAGACCCATGGTGGGGCTAGGGCTGCAAACGAGCCGAGCCAGTCAAAGCTCGATTTTACAAAATTTCATTATATGTACTTAATGGTTATTTTACAAAATTGCTTCAAAAAATTCTAACCGAACTCGAGCCGAGCTTGAGCATTTTGAATTCTAATCGAGCTGAGCTCGAGCTCTTGTATTTTTTTTATCGACGAAAAAAATTCAATAGGCCAATGCTCGACTCGGCCCGGCTCGTTTGCAGCCCTAGGCATTCCTCACCTCTCACCTCACCCCTTCACAAAGACTACTCTGTTAATTTTTTGACCACTTGTATATGTTTACACATATAGAGTGACGAGTTCTAGTGAGAATGATAAATTTGGTAGCCATATTCAAAATTTTAAACTTGTATGATGGACCTAAGAACGTCGTTTTTACGTCACAGATACACACACACTGTTTAAATAACTACTATTAGCTGATTTTTTGTTTTTTCAGAGACACGTATTCGAAGTCGAGCCACATGTATTTTGGTTTTGGGTTTGATTCGACGTCTGACGACTATAAGGTGATAAGATTTATCGAATGGAACCGTGAGGGCACTAATCAGGTCAATCGTGGCCACTGGTTACCTGTGATGGCTGAACTGTATTCGCTTGCAACTAATTCCTGGCAACAAATCAGTATTCTTCTTTTCTCTGATCCAAGCTCGGGCATTCACATAAATGGTTCTTATTACTGGTTAAACAACTCAAACCCTGGTTTTATGTTTTCTTTCAACTTTGCTGGTGAGAAGTTTGTTAAACGTCGTGTTCATTTGCCACAGAGCGTAAAGCTCGATAGACGTACGTTTAGTAATTTGAAGCTCGTGGAATTTCGTGGTTCGCTTGGTGCTATTGTTCACTCGTTTGGTGCTGATCCTTTTTGTAGTTTCGAAGTTTGGGTGTGGGATGATGGCAGATGGGCGTGGTCACTCGTGTCCATGTTCGACGCCCCTATTTCTATGAGGTATGAATGGAACCTCGTTGGGAGTGATAAAATAATTTTTGTGGACGCGAATCGTGATCTGATGTTTTTTGATTATGCAACTGGCAAGTTGGAGAACATTGCTGGGGCGCCTAAAGCTTATGCGGCGGGCATTTTACCTTTTGTCGAGAGCTACGTTACACTGAACTAATCTGGGAAATAATCAATGAGATGGTTGGAATAGTTATCTGAGCTGCGGACAATTTATTTCTTTCGTTTTAGGGAGTGCTTTGTTTATTCCATCATTGCATGTGAGTTTGGTTTATGCTTCGTTTTGTATTGAGGGATTTCTTTTACTGAAATGGTGTCCAAATTAAAATAATAATAATAATTATTATTATTATTATTATTATTATTATTATTATTATTGTTATTGTTGTTGTTGTTATTGTTTTTGTTATTTTGTCTTCTATATAACAATTCTAACAATGAGGGCATCTATAGCAATCTGTAACTCGTTGGAACGAATCCGTAACAATTTGTAAACTTTGGAATGCATTTTTTGCTCGCCTTTTAATTTGCAATTTGAGAGTAGTTTTTTGGTCAATTACTCCAAATTAACTTTTGCTGTTTGAGAATGACTAAATTTTTGTGATGAACATACTATTTGTTTATTTATATTTTGATTGCATCTGATCTGACTAGAGTAGGGTTGTGCAATGTTCAAACTTGAAAAACCGAAACCGACTGAAATATAAATTTAGTAAGTCGGTTTTTGGTTAGTAATTTTAAAAGTCCAGTTACTTCGTTCGGTTTTGATTCTGCAATTCAAATATTTGAAAGGGTTAATAACTTTTTTCCATCTGAACTATCACGATTTTGGCGCATCACCATATGAACTTTTTTTTTTTTTTACAAACCACCATCTAAACTACACGGGCTTGTCAAATTACCCCATAAACCGGATTTAAAAGTAGTTTTGACTAAAAAAAGTTGTTTTTAAAGGTATTTTCAGTAATTTCATAAATTTTTCTAAAAAAAAAAAGAAAATGATAGAATTAAAGAATTTTGTTTCAAAAAAAATAAAAAAACAAAAATAAAAAAGAAAAAGGGGCTGCTGGGAAACAAACGGGCCAACGAGGGCTGTTGCTATTTGTTCGGAGTCCGTCGGCTGCTAGCTACAGGACGGGGTTGCTGTTGCTCGGAAAGAAGCCGATGGGGAGATGGCTGCTCAAATTCGACGGCGAAATTCATTGGAATGGCCGTCTCAGTCGATGAAAAGGAGCCGACGGGGATTTCTTTAAAACGGGGCTGCTCGACATTATCGTCGGGGAGAAATTGAAAAGAAACCGGCCACTGTGAGGGTCGGGTTAGACATGGCCGTGGTCGCCGGTGGTCGGACATGAGCTCGAACTCGCCGAGATGTAAACGCCGATGAATTCTGGTCGCCGCGCTAGGGCGAAGAGGAAATTTTTTCCTTCAATTTGAATTTTTTTCCGACCAGGTGAGCGCGGCGGTTTCATTGTCCGTGGCGGCGGAGGAGGGGAACCGGCGTTGAGGTGTGGAGTGGAGATTCCTCGGCTGCTGGGGGCAGTTGCGGGATTTGCAGCAGGTGGCGAAGGGGATGGGGTTAGGGCTTTGGACGGAGGAGGTGTGGATGGTTTTGCGGAGGCGGAGCAATCGGAATCCACGCATGGCCGGAGCTTTTGTTGCAACAGACGGGGAGAAATTTGTTGGGGGAGTGTGAATTCAAATTGGGGATTAGGGTTTCGTTCTTACGGAGGGCGATGGCGATGGGGTATGGGGTAGTCCCATTTTTTCCTTCATTTTTTATTTTTCATTTTTTTTGAAAAAATATATGAAATTACGAAAATACCCTAAAAAATCAGCTTTTTCTAATCAAAACTACTTTTATTTCCGGTTTAGGGGGAAATTTGACATGCCCGTGTAGTTTAGATGGTGGTTTGTAAAAAAAAAAGTTCATATGGTGATGCGCCAAAATCGTGATAGTTCAGATGGAAAAAAGTTATTAACCCTATTTGAAATAACCGAACTGACCTAACTATATATATAATCTACAATATATTTAAGAAGTTATTATTACGGATTTGAGCACCTTAAATGCGCACTTCAAGTGTTCTCTTTTTTAGTATTTTAGAGCTTTTATGTTTATAATATAACTACCATTCGATCATGTGCATATGCGCAATTGAAAATAAAATTTTATATGTTATATGTATGTATATGTAATATTTAAATCATAAGTTAGATGATGAGCATATCACATTTTATAAATTCTATCATTAATAAAAATGAACGAATAAACATAAACTATTAACTATCATATCATATGTCACATCATACTTATGAATTTTTGTTTGAAAGATATGACAAACGAATGAAAGTTGTTAGGTAAGGAAAGTTATTCTTCGCTTCACCTAATTCTCATATCTCCATTGAAGATTGGGGAACAAATCTTTCACGATAGATAGTCCAAAGGCGTACTAGAGAATATTTGTTTAACTAAATGAAAAATGATTTAAATTTTTTATTATTTAATAAAAGGCCGTGCATGCAGCCACTTGGTATAAATAAGGGAATGTTATCTTCATTCTGCATATCCTTAATTCTTTCTTTTACTTTGAGAATTTCATTTCATTTTTTTTCATATAAAATCTATATCTATAGTAATATAAAGAGGTTGTTGGAAAAATATTTTTATAGTAAGTTTGACTAAAAAAATAAATGGTTTGACTTACTATTAGTGGAAATTTAGGAAAACACATGTACCAAAAAAATTGAGATTTTTATTGTAACAAATTTGGAGATTTTTATGGTAACAAATTTAATTGAGATATCCCAAAAAAATTGGAGATTTTTATACCAAAATTTAATTCCTTTTAAATATTAATTCCATAGGAATCTACTTTTATTGGTAACAAATTTGAAGATTGTTATGTCAAAAAATTGAGATTTTTGAGATATTCCAACAATTACGATTTTTTCCCATTCAAATTAATGTTGTAAATCAAACAAAAAATTTTCTAAAAAATAATGGATGTTATACCAAATATTGATAAACTCCAATCCCATAGGAGATTTCTATGGGATTCTTATGGTAACAAATTGGAGATTCTTATGCCAAAAAATTGAGATTTTGAATTGAGATATCCTAACAATTTTGGATTTTTTCCCTTCAAATTCATGTTGTAAATCAAACAAAAAATTATTCCGAGAATAATGGATGCTATACTGAATATTGATAAACTCCTATCCATAGGAGATTTTTATGGAATTCTTATGGTAACAAATTGAAGATTCTTATGGTAACAAATTTAGAGATTCTTATACCAAAATTTAATTCATTTTAAGTATTAATCCCATGGGAATCTATTTTTATTGGTAACAAATTTTAAGATTCTTATGACAAAAAATTGCGATTTTGAATTGAGACATCTCAACAATTACAGATTTTTTTTTTCCATTCAAATTAATGTTATAAATCAAACAAAAAATTATTCCGATATAATGGATGCTATACTAAATTAATATCACTGGGCCCACACGTTAATATGATATTTATTAGATAAATAAATTACGTAAATCTTTCCTAACAAAATGCATTCCAATATTGTTAACCAATTTAATGGGATTTTGTTAACTAATTTGATAGGATTTTGGTAACCACGGGATTTTGTTAGCTTTTCTTGAAAACACGTATTTTCATTATTGATAAAATTTGATAAGATTTTGTTTCCAATTTTTTTTTTCCTCTCTCGAAAATTTGATAAGGTTTGATAATATTTTGTTTCCTTTTTTTTTCTCTCTCTCGAAAATTTGAGTTGTGGATTTGAAAATAAAAATAAAAATAAACATATCATATTGATAAAGTTTTAGTGCGGGCATAAAAATCAATTTTAATTTGATTGAACTTTGTTTCATATAAACCTAAGAGAATCAGACGTTTGAAAAAATAAAATATTAATAGTAAATAATCATATTTGTAAGGTTTGATTTGGAATATTGAGGCATAAAAATCAATTATGATTTGATCACATTTTGTTTTATAAAAGTTATCTTAGAAAATTTTACACGTTTCAAAAAATTAAAGATTATAATTTCGTAAATTAAAGTTTTGGATTTGTCCTAAAATAAAAATATTATTATTTAATCTATCCAAAAAGTCTTACCAAATTTCATTGTAACAAACTCCATTATTTTTTGCTACATAATCTTCTAAATATTCGTTCGTCCCTCACAAGTGAATCACGTTCCACATTTTTTTTAACAAAACCGATAACACATATTTTTAGAAGTCAATCATAATCATAATAAAAACAATCGGATCGGATCATATTAAATACCTTACGTAAATATTTTTTTTATTTTCCAGACATATGACATATACACATGACTTTATAAACATCACCAATGTTGAACAAAAAGTATTCTACATCCAATATATCCCACAAAACAATTCTTTCTACAAACTTTTACATCACCATTGAAAATGGCTTCGGATTTTGGAGTAATCAAAGTTATCAAAAGATCCAATAAGCCACCAATCAAGCTACGCATAATTAGGATGTTCCAACGAGTTGAAGTCGTACGCAATTACCGAAATTTTCTTGAGATTATATCATTCACGATTTTGAGGTAATATATTCTTTTATTATTATTTA